TCGAACCGTTTGAGTCCCCGACTCGTTCTCCGCTTCGGCGCCCGCGTGAGCCCAAGCGAGTCTCACTTCTGGCGCCGAGAGTCCCCGCTCGTACGGGTCTTTTACCGCTTCCGGCGCGCGTGAGTCCACGGCCCGACGCTCCCCGCGCGCTCCGTCGTTGCTTGTTGAGCGCCTCCTACCGTCCTTCCGCGACTCTCTGTCGAGGCTCCTTTGGCTCGGCCCACTGGTCCGAAGCGCCTTAGGGGTTACCCTTCCCATGGTCCCTTAAGCCGTCCTGGGGCCCGCTCTGTCCACCACGCCCTGCGAGGTTGCTTGTCTCTGTACCTAACGTCCTGAGAGTCGCCTGGAGAGTTTGCCTTCCGTCCTGTATCCAACGTCCCCTGGGGGCGTCTTCTCGTCAGCCGCCTGGGGGTTGCCTGTCCTGTATCCAACCGTCCTGGGGGCCGCTCTTCCTCATCAGCCGCTGCGCGGCGTTGCCTGTCCTGTATCCCACGTCCCTGGGGCCGTCTTCTCATCAGCCGCCTGGGGGTTACCTGTCCTGCCTACCGCGACGTCCCTGGGGTCCGGCCTTGGAGGTTGCGTGTCCCTGTGTCCCAACGTCCTGGGGGGCATCTTCTTAGCAGCCCGCCACGGAGTTGACGTGCCTGTCATCCAACGTCTCCTGGGGCGCAGTCCTTCTTCCAGCAGCCCCGCACGGAGGATATGAACCCACTCACAGCACAACACGTCTGGCGGGGCCGTCTTTCTCGTCCTGCCTGAGCAGTCTGCTGCTCCCTGTATCCAACGCTCCTGCGGCGCGCCCGTCTTTCTTACGCGCCGCTCCGGCAGGTTGCCGTGTCATCCCAACCGTCTGGCCGTCTTCTCATCCAGCCGCCCTGCGGCGGTCTGCTCGTCTGGTACTCAACGTCCTGGCGGTTCGCCTTGGAAGTTGCCCGTGAAGTCCTCTCTGACCTCCCCCCTTTGAGCTCTCCCGAGCTCTGCTCTCCACTGAAACTCTCCCTGAGCTCTCTGAGCCTCTCCCACTGAGCCTCTCCCCTTGACCTCTCCCCTGGTCCCTTCCTGGTCCCTTCCTGGTCTTCCCTGGTATATCCCTGCAATCTCTTCCCTGTTTCTTCCCTGATCTCTTCCTGAAACTTTTTCCCTGAACTCCTTCCCCTGCTCTTCTGACTCCTCCCCTGAATCTCTACCCCTGAATCTCTACCTGATCTCTACCTCTGATCTTCACTGATCGTCCTCCCTGACCCTACTTGGTCTCTGGCTTGCCCCCGGGCCGTCCGCCCGAGACCCCCTCCTTGGTCTCTGCCTTGCCCCTGGGCCGTCCGCCCGAGACGCCCTCCAAGGTCTCTGCATTGCCCCCGGGCCGTCCGTCCGAGATCCCTTCCGCTTCCTCCGCCCTGCTCCTGGGTTGTCAGCCCAGACCCGTCCTCCTGACCCCCTCCACCCACCCTGGTGGCCCTAGTTTTGTGTACCTCCTCCGGTCCCCCTCCAACCACCCTGCTGGACGTTGTTTTTTTGTTTGTTTTTTGGACGTTCATTGGACTGTTTTGGTGTTTTGGGACGTCTGGGATCCGTCCCTTGAGGGGGGGGGTAATGTCACGATCTGTCTGTGTTTTGTTTTGTCTTGTCTAGATCTGTCTTTGGTTTTCTGTCTGCGTTGTGTTTTGTTTAGATCTGTCTTTGGCTTCCTGTCTGTGTGTGTTCCCTCCTACCTGTTTTCTTGATTGTGTTCACCTGGTGCCCCTGTGTTTTCTCCTCCCTCCTCACCTGTTTCTTGCTTCCTTGATCAGTCCTGTGTGTATTGTAAGTTTCAGCTTTTTTCTGTCTGTCATTGTTTGGTCTGTTTGTCCGTATTGCCAATATCCTTGAAATAAAGGTATTTTCAGTGTTATCTGCATTTGGGTCCTGCTTGCTTTGCTCACCCGTAACAATTATGGCTTGAAAGGAAAGGTCAGCAGCTGACTGAAGTCAATAAGATTCATCCTGTCATAACCAGGAAGATCTGTACAAATTACAATTCAGTGTGGACCAACGGACTGACATTACCATTCCTGAAAACTCCATACACTTAGCAATAATACAAGTAATGATAATAGCCAGCAATGATAATAGCTATCCACGCTAACCCTGCCATTACATCTCTCTATTTAAAACGGGTACTCCTAATAAAGTTTTAACTTACTTAACTACTAGTGTCTGCAGCCTCATCACCACAAATATGTGTCTACACCCATGAAGCAGAAACCATTAGAGAATAATCATATCATTGTTAATTATTAAATAATTGTTTGTCAGCTATCAGAATAGATTAAACAGGATAGCATGGCCTACATTAATTGCATGTGACTTCGAATTCATCCACTGAAGCCAGTGTCTTCCCTCACTGTCAGCCAGCACAGTGTCTCACTAACTCAAGTGAAGAAAGATGGACATCTAGTGGTAGAGGCACCAATCTATTCTCACCATTTACACAAACTGAAATCCACTAAGCCTGGAGTAGTTCGTAGTTCATGTTTTTAGAACTTGTATCTCTATATGAACAGTGCATACATTACAGTATTTACCATTGTATTTACCCACTCCAAAGACCCATGTGAAACTATTCCCATAATTTTTTGCTGTAAAATACTTTTATCTTTTTGTATTAATTGAACTGGACTGATCCAATCAAATGACAACTGCTCCCCCATGCCCTCAGAGGTCTGTGGGTGCATACTGTAATAGTCTGCTCCCCCAGAGCCACAGCTGCTGTTCTGCTGAGAGCTCATGAAGAATTTGTCAAAGTGAACCCTTCTGACCGCTGGGGAAGATTTATGAGATCCTGTGTCTCCCACCTGCTCCTTTTTTCACGCCCACTCAGGCCTTAAGCCACACTCTTTACCTCGCAATACAACCACAAGCACACGACTGTTAGTTGTTCCCTTTCTGTTTGAAAAGAGAAACAAAAGGTGGCTTCTCATCTACCCGCCATGCTCCAAATCCTCGTAATGCTTTTTAGAGATGACAGAAATAGTAAGCTTGGTGACTCACTACACCCAGGTCTTTTCAGGCACCAGGTGCTGTCAACAAGCATGTGTGTCTCATGGAGAAATAATAAGACCCATCATGAATCCATCAAGTCCTGTGGAACACGTGTATCTATTGAGATATGAACTACTTTCCTAATGTTTAAGAAGAGCAGACGTTTGATGTAACAGCTGCAGCTCAGCGGATCATTAAGAGACGCCGAACATTGAGTCATATAAGATCATTATACAGGCTGAGCATCATGCAGAACGTTATGGTCGCATGGATCTGTACATAAGGATGAACTAAGTTGTTTCAAAACATTACTAAAACAAAATGGGATCCGCAATTTTTACAAATGGTGATACTGATAGTAAGGAACACATGCTACACAAATTGTACAGAGTGATTCTTTATTAAATATGTTTCAAAAGCCACCATTTTACACATTTCCTGTCATCAAGTCATTAGCTTCGTCTTGGCACTAAATATATGTAACTTTCTATGACTCAAAGGTGACTGAAAGTGGTTGAAACACAAGCTTACTTCTTCTGAGCAGACCCAAGTCATCCAGACAAACAGTTAAATCGCTCTTTAGACCGCAGCCACCATATACATTACCAGAATAAGGCACAGAACAATTATGTAGGAAAATAAGCATCTATTGTTCACACATTTACACCCACCCCCATCACAGTTTTTCTTAATTAAAGATAAAATACCTAATTGAAAGTCGTAACAATTCACCTTTTTTATTACATACAATACCATCATAACATTATTCTTTACAGTAATGTGAATTTCAAAGCGTAGCTCTTTTTTAGGTGTGAGTGCAGCACTTAAAGGAGTTAAGCTGACAGTTTGTGTGTTGCTGAAGCTCCACTGAGGTCATGTGATCACAGTTGCCTCAAACATGGTAGAGAGGCACCACCCTGCTGATGCTCTGTCTACAAATAGGGCAGCGGGGCTGGGGGAGAGCCTGGTAGCAGCTGTAGCAGCAGCACACGTGCCCACACTCCAACAGAATACAGTTACGTGGCTGAGTAAGGCAGATCACACAGGCGTTCTCTAAGTGCTCCTCTTCCTCGTCTACGATGGCCTCGTGTCCGGCTACTGGAGCACGGGCTCTTGGGTTTTCAGCCCGCAGTCTGTCAAATTCCCTCCTCTCCTTCTCCCTCTGCCAGTGTACTTTGAGTTGATTGTAGTAGCGTCGGCCCAACCAGAGTAGCACCCCTGCCCCCGCCACAGCAGAGGCGATGGCGAGCCCCTTCCACCAACCAGCTGTGCTCTCCTGCTCCCCCAGCAGGGTGTCAAAGTCTGTAATGCTCAAGAAATACTCTGAGCCGTTAGAAGGGGGTCTGAGATTCAGGGTGCCGTCAGTGTCCAGTATCAACTCACCCACACCAGTTAGAGTTGCGCCCACCTGGAAAACATTTGTGAAACGAAGATCAGTTAAATCAGTTGTATTAATATACTTTGTGAAGTGAATAAAAGATAAGTTAAGATAAGATTTATTTATCCCCTTCAGGCGTTTATAGCAGCAACAGTGTCAGAAAGAAAAACAGGATTCACAAGGTAAAAGTAACTATTGAAACAAGATATCACAAGTTGAGCATTTGTATGGACATATATATTTACCGTAATTTTCGGACTATAAGCCGCGCCTTTTTCCCTATTTTTCGACGCTGCGGCTTATATAACGGTGCGGCTAATCTATGGATTTTTACAGCTAACGGCCAACACCTTTAACTCTATGGGCTCTATGGCCGGTCCGCGGACCCCCACCTTTAAGCGGCGGGTTCCAGCAGGAAAAGCTGGAGGCCGGAAAAGAGTGAGACAGGTAGCGCGCAAAAGTAAAAGTGGAACCGGGAGTGGTATGCCGCTGCTGCGGCTTATATTCAGGTGCGCCTTATAGTCCGAAAATTACGGTACATAAGTGTTTAGATGTGAGTGCAGGTTAAAGTCTTGTAAAAACAGTACAGTTGTTATGTATGTACAGTCCTGGTTACTATTTGTGGGTGACAGTGATATCACTTTACTATTGAGTAATAGAAGTTCACCGTGGTATTTTACTTACTTTGAGCATTTCTTCAGTCTCCAGCTGCCCTTTAAGCTTCTCCCCGCTGAGGTATTGTCCTATGATGTCACTGAAGCCGTAGTTAACCTGGTGAAACTTCTCGTGGGTGGTCTCCATGTGGACACCGGAGGCTTGCAGAGGGCACAGAACTCTGACGGCCGTATCCTCTGATCCCACTAATACAAAGGGCACTGCAGTCACTCTTTGGTGCAAGACCCGCTCACTGTCCGTCCTGCAACAGGCGAAGAATAACAGATGTTTTATGTCAATACACATGAGAATCAAGACAAAATATTGTTAACATGATGCACTTCAATTTTGGGTTGCATTTTGATGAAAATGTACATAAATAAACAAATACATCTGAAGTGACATCACTAAATATTCTGATATTGGGCTAATTGAAAGCCTGCGGTACAAGCTGCTTTGTGGAATTTGAAAGCAGTGAAGTGAACGAATGGCTGGGCCCCTCACTCGGTGTGAAGTTAATTGCCTCATAAGTTAAGTTATAAATTAGCAAAATCAGATGTGGGTAAATTATTCTTGATACTTGAAAATGCTTTAAGAAAAAAAACAGCCTACATCACAGCTCTCCAGAGGGTTTACTTAATTTTGTTAGCAGCTCATCCCTTAAAGCAGAAGCCTCCGATCCCTTATAAAAAGAGGAAATATGAAGGGTAGATTTCAAGCGTAAATAAGTTATTGGGCTTTTTTCTTTTCAACTTCAATTTGTTAGAAAATGTTTTCAACTTAAAAAACTGTGCTTACTAACACATGAATACTGTTTAATATATGTGTACGTATATATTGAAAATATAAGACAAGTTTAATTTGTGGGCCATATTCCATTATACTTTTTGAATTTGCTGAGGGCTGATTCAATATGCTGTAGTTTTGACACCCCTGGTCTATAGCCATGTCGAAGTTACTATAATTAAATGTTTCAAATATTTACATCATCACCTAAGATGCTCTTACAAGTGTGAATCTGTGATATTTCTGAAATTCTTGCTGATTAATAACACAAACTTGCCAGAAAAGGCAAAGAATATATAGATGCAGCATGAATAGCTCATAATAGCCCTCAACCAAACCCACAGGCTTTCAATCAGAGGCCAAGATGTCTCATCTATCTTGTGTAGCTGATGTCAGAGGCAGCAATCAGGTTTGGGTCCTACTGCAAAAGCCACGTGGTTAAAAGTAACTTAACCCCAGCTTAAAATCGGGCTTGCCCTGACAACTAATAGAACATTTTCCCACACCATGTACAGCAGTGATGTACCATGACGTTATAGGACCACTCTTCACAGCTGGGTTCCAGAAACGCAAACCTTTCAAAGCAGAGGCCAGTGCAGATATGTTTTTCCTCCTTCCTAAATTGGGAGTGGACGTACTATTTAAGGCACATACCACCTCAGAGGAATGTGCCTGGTTGTATTCCAACCACAAACCTTTGTTGCATGTCAAACATCTAAACTGTCCACTATAAAATAGAGTGATGATGCCAAAAAATGTATGGAATCATAATGCTGCTAATATTGTATTGATGGATGTCTCACCAAGTGCGTGACAGGCTGTTCCACACAAGCCTGTGTTCTCTCAGCAAGACCTTCTGCAACACTCCAAATATTTCTTTTTGGAAGGAGCTGGTCAGAGGCTCGCCTACCGGTTGCACAGCACCTACGATTTATATACACACCTGTTAGAGTATTCAATATGTTTTCAAGTGTTCAGTTCTTGTCAGAGTCAGAATCAACTCATGTTTACCTTCGATGACAGCATACTGTAGACATGCTCCTGGAGTAACTTTCAGAATGTCTTTGAGTTTTCCGTCTATAGTGAAGTGAGGAGCATCCTGACAACATGAGACACAAACACTTAGGAAGAAAACTTGAAGATTTAAAAATAAAAAAAGCAGTAGAAGCCATGACCAATGTTTTACAAGATGGGAAAGAAGGGAACTAAACGGTTTCCCCGACACAAAATGATACTTTGTCTCCAGCCTTTTCGTTTTCTTTTCAATGTACAGGACTGTCTCAGAAAATTAGAATATTGTGATAAAGTTCTTTATTTTCTGTAATGCAATTAAAAAAACAAAAATGTCATACATTCTGGATTCATTACAAATCAACTGAAATATTGCAAGCCTTTTATTATTTTAATATTGCTGATTATGGCATACAGCTTAAGAAAACTAAAATATCCTATCTCTAAATATTAGAATATCATGAAAAAGTATACTAGTAGGGTGTTCAACGAATCACTTGAATCGTCTAATTAACTCGAAACACCTGCAAGGGTTTCCTGAGCCTTGAAAAACACTCAGCTTGGTTCAGTAAACTAAATCACAAGTATGGGGAAGACTGCTGATCTGACTGCTGTCCAGAGGACCGTCATTGACACCCTCCATCAGGAGGGTAAGACACAAAAAGAAATTT